TTCTTTACCATTTAGCTGTGACTTTTTGGTGGACAGGGTTACTTTCAATATAGTTGATATGATGTATTTAATATTTAAATGACATAAGTGCTGGGAGAGTTCCCAAAAGTATCCCATGGGTACAGAGAGGTACAGGTGAAGCATACAATTCACATGCTGACACTGTGACATGTAACATCAGTAACGCGTGTAACATGGGCACAAAGGTGACCCGATACTGGAGAATGAGTTACAATTTCTAATATGAGGAAGAATATATTTATAGATCCGTAAGAATAATATTATCAGTGATATTGTTGATAACCTGCAGGACAAAGTGATATTGTCAGTCGCGTTTGAACATTATCTGTTGAGTTTACATAAATTTGATCGTCCACCCATTGCTATTATTACGGCTTATATTTTGTGACCAAGGCAACATTTTTGTATTTTTCGTCTTAAGAGGTCAATCTGGAGCCTTTTAACCATTTTTATTATTCGATCGTTCTAGCATTGATCTTCATCGATCACTTGATTGATTGGGTTGTTTACCGGCCGCCGCAAGGAGGACTGCTGTGCGGCGTCAGGCAATAAATAATAAATACTTTTTTTATGCAATGTGTAAATGGCTGGTGCTACCGGTAGGGCAGGACATGTTTCCCCTTTTACTCGAACACCTGGTGCCATCCCTGATTTTCAGTGGTCCATTCATTTATTTATCACAGCTATTTGCCCTTTAAGCCAAATGGAACCAGCTCAGGCGGATAATCAGGACTGGTTATTCCCTGGTATTGACAATTTATACTTACCAAATTTAAAAAAGGGGTGTTGACTGTTTTAACGTTAAATGATTAATGCAACTAACCACAGCACACAGTCCAACCACAGCACACGGTCCAACCACAGCACACGGTCCAACCACAGCACACGGTCCAACCACAGCACACAGTCCAACCACAACACACAGTCCAACCACAGCTCGCAGTCTACCCACAGCACACAGTCCTACCACAGCACAAGTCTAACCACAGCACACAGTCAAACCACAGCACACAGTCAAACCACAACACACAGTCCAACCACAGCTCGCAGTCTACCCACAGCACACAGTCCAACCACAGCACAATTCTAACCACAGCACACAGTCAAACCACAGCACACAGTCCAACCACAACACACAGTCCTACCACAGCACACAGTCCTACCACAGCACAAGTCTAACCACAGCACACAGTCAAACCACAGCACACAGTCCAACCACAACACACAGTCCAACAACAGCTCGCAGTCTACCCACAGCACACAGTCCAACCACAGCACAAGTCTAACCACAGCACAAGTCTAACCACAGCACACAGCCCAACCACAACACACAGTCCAACCACAGCACACAGTTCAACCACAGCACACAGTCCAACCACAACACAAGTCTAACCACAGCACAAGTCTAACCACAGCACACAGTCCAACCACAGCACAAGTCTAACCACAGCACAAGTCTAACCACAGCACAAGTCTAACCACAGCACACAGTCCAACCACAGCACACAGTTCAACCACAGCACACAGTCCAACCACAGCACAAGTCTAACCACAGCACAAGTCTAACCACAGCACACAGTCCAACCACAACACACAGTCCAACCACAGCACACAGCCCAACCACAACACACAATCGTCAAACCACAGCACACAATCCAACCACAGCACAAGTCTAACCACAGCACAAGTCTAACCACAGCACAAGTCTAACCACAGCACACAGTCCAACCACAGCACACAGTCCAACCACAGCACACAGTTCAACCACAGCACACAGTCCAACTACAGCACAAGTCTAACCACAGCACAAGTCTAACCACAGCACACAATCCAACCACAGCACAAGTCTAACCACAGCACAAGTCTAACCACAGCACAAGTCTAACCACAGCACACAGTCCAACCACAGCACACAGTCCAACCACAGCACACAGTTCAACCACAGCACACAGTCCAACTACAGCACAAGTCTAACCACAGCACAAGTCTAACCACAGCACACAGTCCAACCACAGCACACAGTCCAACCACAACACACAGTCCAACCACAACACACAGTTCAACCACAGCACACAGTCCAACCACAACACACAGTCCAACCACAGCACACAGTCCAACCACAGCACACAGTCCAACCACAGCACACAGTTCAACCACAGCACACAGTCCAACCACTGCAAACAGTCTAACCACATCACACAGTCCAACCACAGCACACAGTCCAACCACAACACACAGTCTAATCACTGCACACAGTCTAACCCCAGCACAAGTCCAACCACAGCACACAGTCCAACCACAACACACAGTCTAATCACTGCACACAGTCTAATCACTGCATACAGTCTAATCACTGCACACAGTCTAACCACAGCACACAGTCTAATCACTGCACACAGTCTAACCACAGCACACAGTCCAACCACAACACACAGTCTAACCCCAGCACAAGTCCAACCACAACACACAGTCTTATCACAACACACAGTCTAATCACTGCACACAGTCCAACCACAACACACAGTCTAATCACTGCACACAGTCCAACCACAGCACACAGTCCAACCACAGCACACAGTCTAATCACAACACACAGTCTAATCACTGCACACAGTCCAACCACAACACACAGTCTAATCACTGCACACAGTCCAACCACAGCACACAGTCCAACCACAACACACAGTCTAATCACTGCACACAGTCCAACCACAACACACAGTCTAATCACTGCACACAGTCTAACCACAGCACACAGTCCAACCACAGCACACAGTCCAACCACAGCACACAGTCAAACCACAGCACACAGTCAAACCACAGCAAACAGACCAACAACAGCACACAGTCAAACCACAACACACAGTCCAACAACATCACACAGTCCAACAACAGCACACAGTCCAACCACAGTACACAGTCCAACCACAACACACAGTCTAATCACTGCACACAGTCCAACCACAGCACACAGTCCTACCACAGCACACAGCCCAACCACAACACACAGTCCAACCACAACACACAGTCTAACCACAGCACACAGTCCAACCACAACACACAGTCCAACCACAGCACACAGCCCAACCACAGCACACAGCCCAACCACAGCACACAGTCCAACCACAACACACAGTCTAATCACTACACACAGTCCAACCACAACACACAGTCCAACCACAGCACAAGTCTAACCCCAGCACAAGTCCAACCACAGCACAGAGCCCAACCACAACACACAGTCCAACCACAGCACACAGTCCAACCCCAGCACAAGTCCAACCACAGCACACAGCCCAACCACAACACACAGTGCAACCACAGCACACAGTCTAACCACAACACACAGTCCAACCACAGCACACAGTCCAACCACAACACACAGTCCAACCACAGCTTACAGTCCAACCACAGCACACAATCGTCAAACCACAGCACAAGTCTTACCACAGCACACAGTCGTCCAACCACAGCACACAGTCCAACCACAGCACAAGTCTAACCACAGCACACCACAGTCCAACCACAGCACACCACAGTCAAACCACAGCACACAGTCGTCCAACCACAGCACACAGTCTAACCACAGCACACAGTCTAACCACAGCACACAGTCCCACCACAGCACACAGTCGTCCAACCACAGCACACAGTCCAACCACAGCACACAGTCCAACCACTACACACAGTCCAACCACAGCCCACAGTCCAACCACAGCACACAGTCCAACCACAGCACACAGTCCAACCACTGCAAACAGCTCACAATGGGAACAAGGCTTCCTCTGACACAAGAACATACATTTACGTTACTGTCAAAACAGTAAGCCTCTTGCATTTTAACAGAAATAGATAAAACTGAACAACCTTTTGCCAATAAATAAATATTGAGATAAGCATATTCATAATACCCAAGCTGATTATTGCGCAAATGTTTATATATAATTTGGAAGAAGAACGATTCGGCCCATTTTAACTCAAGACGTTTCTGTAATTTGTTAGAAAGGGGAGTGAGTGCGCCGCTTTTAGCAATATTCCTGAAATATCACGGCTGGGGACACTGGAAATTTGCTTCACACATTGTACCTATGTGGGGAACCGAACCCGGGCTGCTGCTGCTACTACTACTACTACTACTACTACTACTACTACTACTACTACTACTACTGACCGCCTCTGTGTATAGAGCGCCTGCCTGGAGAACGTTTATAGAAGGAATTTCTTGCTACACTACCTGGCGCTCTCATTAAGGGACTGGTCGGCTCAGAGTCAGTAAACTGTGTCTTAGTGGGGTATCCATGTTAAACTGCGGCATGGTATCTCAGTGGGCTAGCACTGTTAGTACAAACAGCCAAACACACACATACACACGTGCTAGCACATCGCTATGTAAGTGCGAAAATCTTGAACGCGACGTTAAACAACGTTTCCCCCCACCTTGCCTACTACTATGCATGTATTACTTCCTCGTGGGGATTCGGGTTAGAACTGGTGCCTAGCAACCTGTGATGGTCGTAAGAAACCATTTAATGGATCGGATGGCCAGGCTCGATGACTTGGTAAACATCGTATCGACTGCTTGGAGCGTTGCTCATGATATCAATCACTGGAATATCTGGTCCAGACGTAGATATTTATAGGCCGTCGCTATACACCTGAAATTTAACAACTTTAATGACCTCAGCAATGGATATGACAATCGCAAACCTACGCTTCTATGTTTGCGATTGTTGCATTTCGCCATAACTGTACAGTAACCCTCACCCACTCAAACTCAACTCACTCACTCACTCAAACCCAACTCACTCACTCACTCACTCCACTCCAGGGATCATCCTCTGCGTCGTGATCAGCGTGGGCATCCACAAGGTGGAGAAGCTCATTGAGAAGCAACCTTACGGCAACGACGGAATCGAAATCCCGGAGAATGACAGAGATTCCAGCATGGAGGACTGGCATGAACCCCAGGCTATGCCTTCCCGACTTCCCGAACGTCACGAACACCACCACCACCGCCACCACCATGGACATCATGGAATAACGATGATATGGGCTGTTGGCTTTGCCGTAAGTTTCACTTATTGCTGTGTATAAAGAAAGATTAAGGGTGGTTCAAACGTCCTAATATCTTACGTCAATGTCGTTTTCTGATTCGTCATGAATTTGTCTAGAATTTGTTCTGCTGACTGTCGCAGGGTGAACAGGCAACGTATCAGGTTGTCCCGGGCCTTCCTCTTTACTGATATGTTATCCAAAACAATGTTCTACTGTTTCAGTACATCCTGCCACCATGTTCTGTTGTTTCAGTACATCCTGCCACCATGTTCTACTGTTTCAGAACATCCTGCCACCATGTTCTACTATATCAGTACATCCTGCCACCATGTTCTATTGTTTCAGTAAATCCTGCCACCATGTTCTACTGTTTCAGTACACCCTGCCACCATGTTCTGTTGTTTCAGTACATCCTGCCACCAAGTTCTACTGTTTCAGTACATCCTGCCACCATGTTCTATTGTTTCAGTACATCCTGCCATCATGTTCTACTGTTTCAGTAAATCCTGCCACCATGTTCTACTGTTTCAGTACACCCTGCCACCATGTTCTGTTGTTTCAGTACATCCTGCCACCAAGTTCTACTGTTTCAGTACATCCTGCCACCATGTTCTATTGTTTCAGTACATCCTGCCATCATGTTCTACTGTTTCAGTACATCCTGCCACCATGTTCTACTGTTTCAGTACATCCTGCCACCATGTTCTATTGTTTCAGTACATCCTGCCATCATGTTCTACTGTTTCAGTACACCCTGCCACCATGTTCTGTTGTTTTAGTACATCCTGCCACCATGTTCTACTGTTTCAGTACACCCTGCCACCATGTTCTCCTGTTTCAGTACATCCTGCCACCATGTTCTACTGTTTCAGTACATCCTGCCACCATGTTCTACTGTTTCAGTACATCCTGCCACCATGTTCTCCTGTTTCAGTTCACCCTGCCACCATGTTCTCCTGTTTCAGTACATCCTGCCACCATGTTCTCCTGTTTCAGTACATCCTGCCACCATGTTTTATTCTTTTAATTTATCCTGCCTCCATGTTCTATTCTTTCAGTTCATCCTGCCACCATGTTCTACTGTTCCAGTACATCCTGCCACCATGTTCTATTCTTTCAGTTCATACTGCCACCATGTTCTACTGTTTCAGTTATCCTGCCACCATGTTCTACTGTTTCAGTACATCCTGCCACCATGTTTTATTCTTTTAATTTATCCTGCCACCATGTTCTATTCTTTCAGTTCATCCTGCCACCATGTTCTACTGTTTCAGTACATCCTGCCACCATGTTCTACTGTTTCAGTACATCCTGCCACCATGTTCTACTGTTTCAGTACATCCTGCCACCATGTTTTATTCTTTTAATTTATCCTGCCACCATGTTCTATTCTTTCAGTACATCCTGCCACCATGTTCTATTCTTTCAGTTCATCCTGCCACCATGTTCTACTGTTTCAGTACATCCTGCCATCATGTTTTATTCTTTCAATTTATCCTGCCACCATGTTCTATTCTTTCAGTTCATCCTGCCACCATGTTCTACTGTTCCAGTACATCCTGCCATCATGTTTTATTCTTTCAATTTATCCTGCCACCATGTTCTATTCTTTCAGTTCATCCTGCCACCATGTTCTACTGTTTCAGTACATCCTGCCATCATGTTTTATTCTTTCAATTTATCCTGCCACCATGTTCTATTCTTTCAGTTCATCCTGCCACCATGTTCTACTGTTTCAGTACATCCTGCCATCATGTTTTATTCTTTCAATTTATCCTGCCATCATGTTTTATTCTTTCAATTTATCCTGCCACCATGTTCTATTCTTTCAGTTCATCCTGCCCGGCCTGATCGGCTGCATCTCCGCCTTCATGAAGAAGAAAGGAGTGGTGAGTCTAACTTTCTTCTGGAACTGTCAGAGATCAGTTGTTACTGTTCCATGTCCCGCAGTACACCACATGCATAACTCACAATGTGTTCTATATAACCATCACACATATAGTGTTCTATATACTCAAGTACATCAGTCACATGGTGTTCTATATACTCCAGTACACCGCTCACATGGTGTTCTATATACTCCAGTACATCACACACATGGTGTTTAATATACTCCATTACATCACTTACATGATGTTCTATATACTCCAGTAAATCACTCACATGGTGTACTATTTTCTCCATTATATCACTTACATGATGTTCTATATACTCCAGTACATCACTCACATGGTGTTCTATATACTTCAGTACATCACTCACATGGTGTACTATATACTCCAGTACATCACTCACACAGTGTTCTTTATACTCCAGTACATCACTCACATGGTGTTCTATATATTCCAGTACATCACTCACATGGTGTTCTATATACTCCTGTACACCGCTCACATGGTGTTCTATATACTCCAGTACATCACTCACATGGTGTTCTATTGTCTACAGTACATCACTCACATGGTGTTCTATTGTCTACAGTACATCGCTCACATGGTGTTCTATATACTCCAGTACACCGCTCACATGGTGTTCTATATACTCCAGTACATCACACACATGCTGTTCTATATACTCCAGTACATCACACACATGGTGTTTAATATACTCCATTACATCACTTACATGATGTTCTATATATTCCAGTACATCACTCACATGGTGTTCTATATACTCCAGTACATCACTCACATGGTGTTCTATATATTCCAGTACATCACTCACATGGTGTTCTATATACTCCAGTACATCACTCACATGGTGTTCTATATATTCCAGTACATCACTCACATGGTGTTCTATATACTCCAGTACATCACTCACACAGTTTTCTACATACTCCAGTACACCGCTCACATGGTGTTCTATATACTCCGTTACATCACTCACATGGTGTTCTATATACTCCAGTACATCACTCACACAGTTTTCTACATACTCCAGTACATCACACACATGGTGTTCTATATACTCCGGTACATCACTCACATGGTGTTCTTTATACTCCAGTACATCACTCACACAGTTTTCTATATACTCCAGTACATCACACACATGGTGTTCTTTATACTCCAGTACATCAGTCACATGGTGTTCTTTATACACCAATACATCACACACATGGTGTTCTATATACTCCAGTACATCACACACATGGTGTTCTATATACTCCATTCCATCACCCACATGGTGTTCTATATACTTCAGCACATCACTCGCAAGGTGTTCTATTGTATAAAGTACATCACTCACATGGTGTTGTCACACTGTTTTGTGTTCTCACATTGTTCTCCACATTGTTTCATGTTCTCATAATGTTTCGTGATCTGACACTGTTTCGTGTTGTCAGATTGTTTCGTGATCTGACACTGTTTCGTGTTCTCACAGTTCCGTGATCTCAAACTGTTTCGTGTTCTCACATTGTTCTCTACCTGTTTCATGTTCTCAGTTTCGTGATCTCACACAGTTTCGTGTTCTTACACTGTTTCGTGTTCTCACATTGTTCTCACACTGTTTCATGTTCTCAGTTTCGTGTTCTCACACAGTTTCGTGTTCTCACATTGTTCTCTACCTGTTTCATGTTCTCACATTGTTTCGTGATCTGACACAGTTTCGTGTTGTCAGATTGTTTCGTGATCTGACACTGTTTCGTGTTCTCACATTGTTTCGTGTTCTCACACTGTTTCGTGTTCTCACATTGTTCTCTACCTGTTTCATATTCTCAGTTTCGTGATCTCACACAGTTTCGTGTTCTCACATTGTTCTCTACCTGTTTCACGTTCTCACATTGTTTCTTGATCTGACACTGTTTCGTGTTTTCAGATTATTTCGTGATCTCACACTTTTTCGTGTTCTCACATTGTTTATCTACCTGTTTCATGTTCTCACATTGTTTCATGTTCTCACACTGTTTCGTGTTCTCACATTGTTTCGTGCTCTCACACTGTTTTGTGTTCTCAGTTTCGTGATCTCACACTGTTTCGTGTTCTCACGTTGTTCTCTACCAGTTTCATGTTCTCACATTGTTTCGTGTTCTCACAGTTTCGTGATCTCACGCTGTTTCATGTTATCACATTGTTCTCTACCTGATTCATGTTCTGACAGTTTCGTGATCTAACACTGTTTCGTTTTCTCACATTATTCTTTACCTGTTTCATGTTCTCACATTGTTTCGTGTTCTCATATTGTTTCGTGTTCTCACATTGTTTCCTGTTTTCTGTCCTCCAGTACATCACCCACATGGTGTTCAGCATCATCACCCTCCTCGTCATGGGAATTGCCTTCGTTGCGGGAATCCTGGTCCTGGCTAGTTTAGCCGTCTCCCACCCCAGCCAGTGCACCCCTGTCGGGGAGATGTGTCAATGCACGTGAGTAGTGATGTAGTGATCTACGGCACCGACCGGCTGCTTATCTGTCGGTGTTGGTGTGTGTAGTATTGAAAATTCTTTGTTCCAGAAATTACTGGACAAAATTAATGTTGCCTCAGTTTAAACCGACAAAAACACGGACTTGCTCTCTGGATATGTTGTATGTCCCATTAAAAGTGTTTTAAAAAACAAAACTGTTCGGCTGAGAAAAAGTGAGGAAAAGATCCGCCCATTTTTCGAAGCTCTTTCGGAGCTGTGGATAACACCAGACTTGCCCCCGACTACCCAAATATTCTGTAAGACCGCAATACAAGTCTTCAGTCTTTTTCGAAATTTTATCCTTTTATAAAACAAAAACCGCACGTTTTTCGAAATTTTATCCTTTTATAACACAAAAACCGCACGTTTGAGTTAACTTAAGATGCTGTTCAATTTAAAATGTCTCAATTATAACTCTTCAGACGGGACGAGATGTATGCACCCGTGACCCTCAACATCAGCTGTGACAACATCCACTCCCTCTACGCCATGGCCGTCGTCGTCGTCCTCGTCGTCGTCTCCGCCTGGATCCTCACCCTCGTCAGCACCATCCTCTCCGGCGTCCTCATCTGCAGACGGGAGGTAAGCAGCGCCCCATTGCAGCTTCAGGCCACACTGATAGCCACCTCCACGTAGGGTTTCCGGGTTAGAATTGTTCCCCAGCAACCCCCGCTGGTCGTAAAAGACGAACAAATGGATCGAGTAGTCAGACTGGGTGACTTGGTGTGATTCTACCTCGATGACATGGGTCGTTGCACACAATATTGATCACTGGATTATCTGGTGACAGGCCGTCGTCATACAGCTTGACTATTGCCGAGTGTAACAAACAAACAAACAATCGGGAGTTGTTAATAAATGACCGACCACACTATTTGTATTAAGAAGGTGAGGTGATGTGAGGTGAAATGGGGTTTAACGTCGCGTCCAAGATTATTGCACTTATATAGCGACGTGCATGCACGTGTATGTGTGTGTGTGGCTGCTTGTACTAGTCCGGACTGATGCTGATTTATAGTGCTAGCTCACTGAGATACCATGCCGCAGTTTAACATGAATACCCCACTCAGACACAGTATACTGACTCCGAGCCGACCAGTCCTTGCTTTAGCCCCTTAATGCCGAGCGCCAGACAGGGTAACAACAAGTACAATCTTTTAACGTCTTTTTGTATGACGCGGCCCGGGATCGAACCCTGGACCTTCCGCTCTCCGGGCGGACGCTCTACCACAAGACCACGGAGGCGGTCTTGTATTAAGAAGGAGCGGTGGGGTCGCCTGGTGGTTAAAGCGGTCGCTCGTCACGCTGAAGGCCCGAGTTCGAATTTCCACATGGGTACAATCTGTGAAGACCATTTCTGGTGTCCCCCGCCGTGATATTGCTGGAATATTGCTAAAAGCGGCGTAAAACCATATTCACTCAATCACTCACTTGTCTTGACTAAATCCGTGAATGAGGGAATAGTGAACTGTGGCCGTAACATATAACACTTCAAACCTTTCATTAAACGTTAAGCCAACAGTGTTAAGATGTAAATCCCTTCATTTTCAGCCCACCGGTAGTGTTGTCATTCAGAAAAACCCCATGGCGACCACCGTCGTCCACAGCGGGGTGCTTGGGTTCGGAAATGGCGAGAAGAAGGGACTCCCGCAGACTCACGACGCCGCCAAGCTGGTCACAAACATGGAGATTTAGACAGCTGAGCATACGTTCCTCAGCGTATTCCATCTTGGGGGATGATTGTCGTTAAATAACCACCTATCTTTCTTTTTGTCTTATGTCCTGTTAATACTGAAAACCATTTTGCCAAGTTGGTATTATGCACATTCTTTCAAAGATCTGATTTCATTCGCAAAATGACAGCCCTGACGGGCACCAAACTCAGCAAGCACCCGTTGTAATATCCGCCATGAAAAGGACCTGCTTCTCTTCACTAGACCTAATGTTGTGTGCGCTTTCATTCCGCTATACTTTTACATTATTCAGATAGATTTCATAGATTTTTTCCTCTCGTTTTGATCTATTATTTACTATTTTCAATATTTGTTCAATAACATGCTAACACTTGACGACATTTATTATTAACACTAATTAGCTTATTCCGTATTGATTTGGTCGCGTTGTGATGCTATAAACAGATTATCCTGAGAAATCTCTTTCTTTAAAAAAGATAAAAAAATGTTTCTCTAAGAACGTTCTACGTTGCTGGAGCAACAACTGTTAAAGTGTAGTGTACCAAGGCGTATGAGAAGTGACTTTTACCTTTTCTGTACTTAATTACAAGATAACAACAAATTTCTTTTGAATTCAATTTACATTGTTCTTATTGTTAATTTTTTTTAGAAAATAAAATGTTATATTTCTGGAGTACAAAGTGTTTCAGTGATTTTTATGTTCATATGCGTACATCACACTGTTCACCCTGCGGTGTGACACGCCCATTCAGGGTGTACAACGTAAATCATTTCACGATGAGAAACGAGTCAGAAGGGGTTGGGGGTGGGGGTGGGGGTGGGGGTGGGGTGGGGGGGGGGGGGGGGGGGGGGGTGTCGAGATTTATACTTTTTGCTTGCTTTTCTTAAACTATGAAAATGAAATTAGCCTTTTTGCTCCGGCGGAGGCAAAGACAATGACACACATACTATGTCCTGTTGTCCATCGTTGGTCTACATTCTGACAGTAGAACATGGCTTCGAACACGGCTGCTAGGTCAAGATGACCTGTAACAAATATAACACCTACAGGGTGATCGACTGCCTCAGTTTGTCGTTGACCATGGAGTTGTGTTTGGAATATACCCGAGTGCGGCGTGAGGCAACACTCACTTACTTTCTTGTGCAAAATATGTGAGGCGGGCGCTACCGGTAGAGCAGGACATGTTTATCCTTTTCGCGAACACCTGGTGTCATCACGGATGTTCAGTGATCCATTCATATACTTTCATCGCAATCGTGCCTCGGGGGGGGGGGGGGGGGGGGAGGAGGAGCACGGGTGGCCCAGTAGTCTAAGGCGCCGCGATTCGCTGTGCAGAGTTGCTGCGTCACTTGGGCACGCCAGAAACCTATGATTGTGGGTTCGAAACCCGATTCGCCCCAATTATGTTTCTAGGTTTGTCAGCATCATACCCGTGCTCGTGGGTTTCACCGAAGTGGTAAAGGTTTAGACCTGCATCACTTCTGGCTTTCCTCCCACATGAGGCTGAGACGCCGTGATATAACTGGAATAATGTTAAAAGCGGCGTTAAACCCAACTCACTCACTCATCGAGACTGATTCTCTTGTGTTGATGTTTTAGATTCAGACACATGCTCGCGAATACACAAACAGCGTGTACATTATTATGCATAATGTTGTATTTTAGAAGCTGTGTCAATGAGGACAGGGTTGTCGTATGGGTTCCAGCTTCTTTATTCGTTCAGCGCGACGTTTTGGTACAGATGTTGGAACTTTTCCATCACTTGCTTGATGAGGGTACCAGAACCTGACGACGCAGTGAAAGAATATAGACATTGAAAACCAAGAGGCGAGTCTGCCTCCTTTATCCTCGTGTGGGTTCACATGAAGACAACAGTCGAACGTGCAAAACTCAGGGGCAGGCCCTTACTATTTCAAACACACAGACACATGTACACACACAGACATACACGCATAGACACACAGACACAAGCACAGAGACACACACAGACACATGTACACACACAGACATACACGTATAGACACACAGACACAAGCACAGAGACAGACACACACGCACGCACATAGCCATACCAAGAACAGACACAAATAAACACACATATGTAAGTATAAACACACACATAGGCACACACACTAACACACAGACACAGACACACACTCACAAATACACACACATATACAAGCACTAACAAACACAGAGGCACACACACTAACACACATCAAGCACACTAACATACACAGACAAACACAAACACACAGACACACACACAAACACACACACACACACAGACAACCACACATAAAGACACAAAACCATACAGACACACAGAGGAGGACGAAGACACACAGACACACATAGACACTTGCCTCTCTGCAGGAAGATGTTTACTTATGCCAGACTTCGGGTTCGACTTATTAAACTGAAAGAAGATCTAAGCTGACATATATCTTGTTACAAGTTAGTGATAAGAGAGGCGAAGTTGTGACGTCACTACCGAAACGAGGAAAAAAGTGAATATATACCACGGATAATTTATCATTCTGTTGGACACATCGTGACATTCATACCAACAACTCGCAAACCTTAGACTGCCGTGAACAGGATATGGGTCCTATGACGTTATCTTTACCCAGTAAACAAAACAAATCACAGAAGATCGTTTCAACATTTGCGTGGTTGCAAATGAGACCATGCGGTGGAAACTCCGAGATCACGTGGTGTAGAAGCTACCCGAGTATGTGACGTGATGGAAGACAAAGGCCTGTGGAACAATACAAGGCCTGGGGAACAGTACCCTATGTTTAAGCGAAGCCTCTGGGAATGTGAAATATGTGTGGAGGACTGTGTGAGAACATAGCCTCGCTGGAACGTTTCTGGAACGTTTCTGGAACGTTTTAATATCTGTAAATTTTTTTTAGGAAACGGGGAAATATTATATTCTACACAATCGTCAGTTAAGCAGTATTTCTGCAATGTGCGTTTGAAATTCACAAACACGTTCCCTTTCTCCATTTGTATCACACACACCCCCCCCCCCCCCCACCCCTCACCTCCCACCAATCACAATGGCCCCCAAGTTATTGTGATTGGAGCCCCAATGTAATGACATAATGATATTACTTTCATAAAGAATGCCTTAAGCAAAAATACAGTGTTTTCATAATGCGTATGGAAGAATTCGTGATGAATTGAAATGAGATATTACG